AGCAGAGGAGAAACCAATGAGAATTGCAAGGGGTATTCTTCTAGTGTTGAGCAAAAGTCGCGGAGAGTCGCTTCGCCCGAGTGTGGCTCAGTGTCAGAGAGGTGATGTGAGCGACAAGCTTTACGGGCATATTCAAAGAGAGGAGACAACTCGAAATACATAAAAAAATATGAGCACGGAGGAGAAAGAAAAACGGAGTCTGAAATGCGCACTTTGGATGCATCAGAATCACGAGTAATAGTAAGCTAATGTGAATAAATGTTATATGGTATATATATTTTAAAACTGTATTTTTTTTAATTTATTTTACAATTAATATATATTATTTTAGATCAAAAACAAAAGGATTATCCGCTTCTTTAATTATTTTTTTTTTTATTTTTTAAACAATATTAAATACAGTTTCGCATTCATATCATTATTTTCCATTAATGAAAGCGTATTGAAAATTCTATTATTTTTTTGCTTCGTTTTTGCAGCAACTTTTTGTTTTGGTTTTAACGAAAAAAAAAACTGGAGGCAGCTAAAAAAAACAAGAGACAAACAACAGCTGAGCCGGTGGCGTTGTTTATGTATTTTGGGTTTTATTTTTTCATGCAACAGCAACAATGACAACAACATCACGAACGTGGCTTGCCACAGCACAGCAAACAACAAACTGAAACAACAACAACAACAACAACAATGATGCTATACAAGATTTGTCATTCAAAGCGTTGGCCAAAAAACCAACAGCAAAATATTGGTAAATGTGTCAAGCTGTTGTTGTTGCTTGTGGCTCGCTCTGTTCCTGTTTACATTTGTTGCAATATAAGCAAAAACATTAAACACATTTTTCGAGCCAGTTTTTGTTGCTGCTGCCGCGAATCATAGGCTTGACATATATATCCCAATAGGCTGCCAATTGTGGTTGCTGCTTCCATTGAAGTTGTTGCCTACTATTTTCATGTATATATTTTGTATTTACGCCTATTTGTTTTAGGCTTTGGTCCCTTTGGCAAATTCTAATCAGCATTTTCAGTTGACTTTGTTCAGATTTTAGTTTTGATGATGCTGCACAAAAATATGTGTGGGACTCTCCCAGCTGTTGACTGTTGCAATGTTGAGTTTGGCATAGGATGAATGAACTAAAATCAGTTAGTTATCTACTAGGAAGGCGTTAAGGTAAGGTTTTAATATATATATAAGCTTCACTTATACATTGATACATTTACATTTAAGCTTAAAGGTAGTCTCCTTATCCCTTTTAGCAGCAGCTCTTCAAATGATGCTCAATTATTAACTCTTTATATTGAGTTTCCAAATCAGCAAAAAAAATAAACTGTTAGCAATCTTTGCCATTTATATAACTTTTGCACTTTATGCCAAGCCCTTTATAGCGCGAAACTTATGCGAAATTATGAGCTAAGCTAAATTCTAATAGACCCAAACGACCTGCACGAGCTGCTGCCGAAATTGTGAATGTTTAAACTCGTAACGCAATTGGGCAGGCCAAACACGTACATGTCACATAGAAAACACTAGCAATAACAACAATGACAACAACGGCAACAACAGCAAACATTGCTGAGACGTAACAATTAAAACGCTAAAAGCATTTTATATAATATTTCGCATAATGCAAAACAATTCACACGCCTCGAACTTTTTATGAGCCACAGCACACACCCCAACTGTCTTACATAGGTAAAAACATGCATATATATATATATATATACTTAAAATTCGTATACTCATAATTGTCACAAGTGCTATAAACACAACATATACATACATACAGTGAGAGCTGAAAAGAAATGTTTATTAGACAAGTTTGGATAGCTGACAGCAATACGACATAAACTGAAAAATAATAAAGTAATGAAGTTAGATGTGGGCCGAGAGATAATGCTCGACTAGAAGATACCTTGCACTGAGTATGAAGACGCAGTCAGAAATATTTGAACAGCGTCTGCTATATATGCGAATCTGCAAAAGATATTCTATGATTTAGCCTTAATATCTATGCCTCTTGAATGTTCACTGTGTTGAGCTCTACATCCTTTGAGACAGTCCCAAAGAGCTAAGTAGACAGCCTCGATTGTGCCTTCTTCTACTTGTTGCATACACATGCCTAAATATCACATACTCCACATTCATTCCCCCATTTATGTACAGGGTATAGAATATATCAGTTATGTTTATCATTTTGCAGCAAGCAGCATTAACAGCGCCACCAAAAATTAGCAGCAAATTATGCCTGAATGAATGTTGTGCCAAAATTATGTTAATTATTTACACAAGTGCACAGGCTTCACTTGTGTGTGAGCGTGAGCGCTTGTATCTGTGTGTGGCTGGGGGCCATGCAAATGAGCCTCGAGGATGTGTTTTGGTTTACCACGCATAAATTTTCTTCAGCCTGAGCGCTTCAAGCAACCATTTTGCCAAAATGCTAAAAACAATTTCGTGCCAGCGAAAATGTGAGTGCAGCACGCGGCGGAAAGAGGAGCAGCAAAGAGAAGTTGATAGCCTCGGGCCATAGCCACAGTATTGCATAATTAATTTGTTTACACAGTTGTAAACAAACTCAGCGCGCATCGTTTGTATCAGGGCACGGACTCGTCGCTAATAGAAATACATTTAAATGCAAAATTCATTACTGTGGGCATATTTCAGAGCGGAGCTATTCGCCATCAAGCTTGTTTCTATTTTAAATGCTTTGGCTTTTTGTCATTTTAATGATCGTGCAAGGAAGAGTGCCAAAAGCAGGAATAAAACCATAAGAATAATTCAAGAGTAAGGCAAACAATTTATTAATCAATTTGTAATCTTAACTGAATTTTTAACTTTTGATACACTTTGCATAAATGAGAATCTTTTCTCTAAATTATTATTCATGATTTTCGTTAAATTTGTTCATTTGAAAATTGTTATTTACTAAATTTACTATTATTATGTATTTAATAGAATAAATAATATTTAATAGTTTTTATATTTTTTATATTATTTGTGCTTATTGTTTCTCATAGGCAGGGAGTCTCTTCTCTTAATTTTCATTTTTAAAATATATTTGTACACAGAATTGTCTTCAGAGCACTTGAAATCAACCCACTAACTAGACAAATACTTTTTTCTAAATTTTAGCTCAATGTCCAATATGAGAACTAAAATAATCTAGAGCACATTATCATTTGAATTATGCATTTATAGCTTGCAAGTGCCAATGGCTATATCATTAACTATATCATCGGTAAAATGTCATTTCCCGTCAATTTATTTATTTTGCAACACTTTTCCTTCGGTTTTTTTTTGCGCTTCATGCATTTCACTGCATGAGCTGACTATATATTGTTATTGGTGTTGCTGCTGACTGTTTATACATTTCCTGTCCGCACAACAACAACAGCAGCAGCAGCAGCAACTACAACAATGGCGTCAAATGTTTTACAGCAGATAAGAAGTTTAATTTATGCGAAAACATGTTTTGAGCTGCCACCCCAGAAGCGACAGCCAGACAGCCAGATAAACAGATATCTATATAGCAGAGCAGGACAGTACGGGAGAGGAGAGGAGGACAAATAGTATACAAATGCATAAATGCTGCCTGCAGCTGACTAGGCTGCAGTGGCCACGCCCACAAGTTCACACGCTCGACACTTGCTATTGACCTTCATTGGACATGTGCAGCAAAACTCTTTTTTATTCTTTCTTCACACTCGCCCAAAAACGTGGCCATAAATTGTAGCGAGTCGCTTCCGTTTTTGCGGTTTGTCGATGTTGTTGCGATTTATTTATTTATTTAATGCCATGTTTTGTCTAGACGCCGACTGCCTGACTGACACGGAGCTGGGTTATGGTGGGGGCGGTGGTTAGCGCTCTTCTGATATGTATCCAGCGATAACTCCGTTTTTATGCTGCTCGCATTGTCTCTGCCTGGCGACGAGTCCTGCGCAGATTTTATGCGATTTTCGTCTGGGCAAATGGCTACTGGAAAATGGCAAATGGCAAATTGCAAATGGCAAACGGCAGACGCAGCGCCTCCGCATTGGGGCAACGTGTCGCTGCATAAGCAGACGTGCAATTAAAAGCAAAGGATACCAACGATTGCGGCGAGTGTCGCATCATTAATTAGCCCAAAGTTTAAGTAGCTATCAAACGCAAAATAACCGTAACATTAATGAGTTTACTTTAATATGGATTAAATTTGAAAAACAAAGAAGTGTTTCCTTATATCAATCAAAGGTTTTACAAAATTTGCTAAAATATCACATATTTATCTTGGGAACTGTTTGTACATCTTTTATTTTTAAACCTATTAAATATGATAGTAGCTTTATATTTATTTATTGTATTTTATTTCTAATATAGTTTTGTATGCCTGAGATATCATTAAAGCTAAGCAGCCAAGGCGCAACAACAGTTGCTTCAGCTGAACTATAATTTATAAAATCCAAATAAATTAGAACAATTATTGTTGGTAATTACAAAATTTATTTAATTATTAATTAACTTTGCTATAAGCATTATATTAAACATGAATTTACTTACATTTATTTACACAAGTCTTAGCCTGCATAGCAACATTGCTGCTGCAACAAGCTTGAAGCAACATCATTAATGTGCTTAGCAACATTTAAACTGAACTTAGCCACAAGAAACTTATGCTTAGCAACATTTTGTTGGGCAACATTTATCGTTCAGCCCAAAAGCATGCAACACTTTTCCGACTTAAATTTGAGAGACATTTTCACTTAAATATTTACTAAAATAAAATTATTAATAAAAAGCGAAAATGCTAAAATATTGATTTTTAATAGAGATATACAATATTATTTATTTATTATTTAATATATATACATATACATATATATATATATACATATATACATATATATATATATACATATATATACATATATATATATATATACATATACATACACATACACATATTTATACGCAAGTCTATTATAAAACATATGAAAAAGTTAGATAGTTCAAAAATAAATTGTTAATAATACGGCACAGCACACGGCCCTCTGTCTGGTTTGGGGCTGGGGACTCTGCTTACATTCTTAAGCTTTGATAAATACGTAGATACAAGATTAAACGCAGACTCACTCTCTGATACACACCACTCCCTCCTTCTGGTCCGCCCTACTGCGTGACCCTCTCCAGCCTCTTTCTATGCACACGCCCCTCCTCGTGTTGTTTCACCGACTTCAGATGATTTAGCGTTATGTTGCAGACCTCGCAGTAATAGGCGGCATTCAGATCGTTTAATTTACGAAAATCCGGCTTACTGTAACCGGCATACATGTAGTAGCCTAGCGGATTCAGCGGCACCAGCGAACCGTTTGCATTGATGCGATACACGTGGCTGCCATCGAACGGCTCCGAGATGGAAGCTGGACAGCTGGAGCGCTCGCGCTTGCGGTGGCGCAGTCCAGCCATGTGTATGGCAAGCTGCGACTCCGACGTGACAATCACATCACACAGCTTGCACATCAGCCACTTGTCATTGGTGCGCACCCAACGGCCCGATCTGTCATAGTAACCTTCGCCGTTCGGTTTGCTGATGTGCCGCTCCACGAGTCGATGCCGCCGTCCGTAGAAGTGCTGGCGCGCGTGAATGACCGAGGTCAGCTTCAGATCGCACAGATCACAGTGCAGCACGGCGGGTCCCGAGCTGCGTAAATGTCGTAGCATATCCTCGGACAGGTTTCCCTTAATAAAGCTGTAGCGTATCAACCAGGAGTCCACGCGTCGCAGGTGAGTCCGCGACAGGTAATGGTCCAGTGCGTTGCGCATAGTTCGCATAGCCGTGTGGCAAAGGTGACAGCAGTCCCAGTGGAAAAGCGACTGCAGCTCTTGCGGCACTTGCGATGTTGACACCGGTTCTATGCGGGAGATATCATTTAGTTAACTATTTATGAAACGTGAGACTGAGAAAGTACAGAAAATAAAAAATCTTGAAGTAAACAAGTTTAAATTATATTTAAAATTAGTTGAGAAAAATACGACCAATGCATGTATGCATAAAAAATTTAATAATAATAAATAATAATATATATTTCTATATGATAGAGATTATATAAAATAGATGTAATTAAATGTCCTTCAGTTAGCTTTAACTTTGAATTGCCTTCATATTAACAGCTTAGCAAATTCTTGAGCACATATACTTTATTCCGCAGATCTGTTTGTCTTAGCATCCTCTAACATACCTGTTCCTACTTTGTTTATTTTACTATTTATTTATATATTATAAGGATATGCGCGAAAGCCATTTGAGCTCTCTTTAAAGTAGATAGAAAAGTTAAGAAATTTCTTTAGCAATCTGTGTATTCATCAATGTGACATATTCAATATGGTCCCTAAGGTTAATTTTGAAAGCAAAGTTGAAAAATGAGTTTAAGTTGTCAAGTTTTTAGATTTTATATGGAAGGCTGAACAGACAGAAGAACCGATGAACTGAGATCGCCTGATAAAAAAATATATAATGAATATACTTATAGGCTCTGCCAAGTCTTCTTCTAATTTATACATATAATTTCAAGAGGCCATTATGATCTTCCTTTCAGGTTGCAAAAACGTGTCTACATCATAAATATTTAAGATTTTCAACTAATTCAGCTCAGTCATAAGTATATTTGAATATAAGCTAAATTTCAACAGGTATTTTCTCTTATCCTGAAACTCACCTGTAAATATGCGATGATACTTTTGCTGCTCAATCAGCCGCTGATAGTCGAGCTCCTGTTCCAGTTTCTGCCTCAGTAGCAGCTCGCGCTGCAGATCAAACTGATGTCCGTAGTTGTCAATGCGCGGCAGATGCGCATAGAGTGGCGACGTTCCGTCCATTCGATAATGTTGGGGATTGCCATTGGGCAGGTAGATGCGTTGCCGCGTCTCCTGCTGATTGGCGATGTAGTCCTTGAAGTCACAATAGAATGCCGGCTCGTAGGTCTGCGGCTTGTAGCCATTGGGCCCGAATGGCGAATAGCTCGCCGACTGACTCTGCGCCAGTCGATAGTTGTTGCCGAATCTCTTTTGCTGATAAACGATTTTGCCATTGCTGTTGGCGGCGCCGTAGCTGTGGTATTTGCTGGGCCGGCGCGGCTGCTTGTATCCGTTGAGCGCCTTTAAGGGCAGCGGTTCAGCTCTCAGGCTCGCTGTCAGCTGATGGGCATTTGGATGCGGTCGATTGTTATGATGTTTGTTGCTTTGATAGCGGCCGGGCTGCGCTTTCGATGAGGAAATATGTCTATAGATATTATATGGCTCCAGCTGCGACTGCGACTGCGACTGCGACTGCGACTGCGGCTCAGCTTCAGCTTCACGCAGTGCAAATGGCTGGGCCATGGCCGGTAGATCGATGGGCGGCGGCTCGTAGGTACTGAGCGGCTGCATTTGTTCCTCATCGTCCAGGTCATCCTCGTGCTGGTCCGCCCAGAGCAGTTCGAACTGCAACGGACTGGGACGCTCATTGTGTAGCGTGGCCATGAAATGGTCGCGCGTTATCTTCGACGCACCGCTGGCATAGGCCGTGTGATGGAACGTGGAAATGGCCTCCTTGGCGGGAGTTGGGCCAAAGTTCTCGTAGCTCTGACGATTGTGCACCACGTGCACAGCATCCTGCATCATGATCAGCTGCGGCGCCTCACCATCCAATGTTTCCAGCGGCAGCAGAGCTTGGGGCATGGCGTCAGTCTCCTGGGCGCCATGGACGAGGCACGGCAGCTTGAGCTGCTGACTAAGCGCCTTCGCCTCGGCCATGTTCATCTGCTGATTGTCCCGCTCCAGACTGCTCGGCGGCAGGTTCACTTGATAGCGATAGATGACATCCTCGTCAGGACGGCGCAGCTCCACCAGCACGGGCAAGTAACCGGATCGTGTACGCGGCTTGGGCAAAGCAGCTGCCAGCTTGCTGATGTTCCTGGCGCACTGCAGCGCGATGCGCTCATGGACCGGCGGTGTCCGCGGACTCAATTGTGATTTGCGTGCCAACATATTTTCTTTGGTTTTGCGTTCCTTAATGGTAATTCGCTGTCTTGCCGGCGGGGTGTTGGGCAACTTGTCGACGCTTTACATAGAAAATAGAGAACTCGGTTTGTCGTCGAATGGGTATGGGAATGGTTTCTATACACTTTGGGCCGCGCGAAATTGTTCGACCGCTTAACATTTAACAATACATTTGAATTTGTTGGAATTGGTGTTTAAAATGTGTGAAAAGTTTCTACACCAATCGAAAAATACATAATAAAACACGTCCTGCGATGGATCTGTCAAAGCTAACTACGATTCTCCGCTCCATCCGAGACTCAACTCTACCAGTCACGTCCCCCTCAATCGCACACAACTCTGAATCGCCTATCGATAGCATCTGTAATCAGACACTGACAGTAATACCCCTCAGCTAGTAGAGCTCACTCCTATTTATTATCAACTGACAAACAAAAATATTCCGAGTCCTTTCTTATGGAGAATCGCCACAGCTCAGAATACATACCTGATTTTTAAATATATGTATATATATATATAAATATGTATATATAAATATATATATACTTATATATTCTGAGATAAACTATTTCTTATGTACAAACTGACGGAGTTGGCAAAACATTTGAATACTTTTGTTTTTGTGCTTCGGAAGCAAACGCATTTTTTGTTATAGGCAATTTTATCATTGGAGAGAAAAATATTGAAAAAAGTTTCTTTGAAACAAATTCTGTTTAACTAATTGAGCTAAAAGATAGCTGCAAGTAGCCATAGGATGTTCCCTCAAGTTTCTGATCTAAATCTTTTTGAATTTTAAATTTCAAATTGAAATTTGAAATTAAACTCTCAGCTAACTAACTTCAGAAAATTGTGTCATAAGATAATACTTATATCCAGCTTTATTTAGAGTCGCTTACGAAGTGAAAAAGTGAGATTCAGGTCTGTCTAACATGACAAATCCGAATAGAGATCAACACTAGAAACAGTAGGTGGAGATAGAGACCAAAGTACAGACATAGATTTACTCGATTCTAATATTAAGGCTTTGGAAATTTAAATAACTTAGCTTAATTACATTTAATGCATTTGCTGAAAAATATTGCAAGTGTAATTTACTTTTATTGAGCAGTTAAGGTAACACTTTGAGATTTTATAAAAATTGGCTCTATTCGAAAATAAGGTATTTTTGCAGAGATTTAGGAAAATCGAGCTACTCATCAGTTTTCATTGATATTTAAACATAAGAAATTAACTCAATTCTTAGAGCTATCAACTTAATTAGCATAGTTCCAAGAGCTAAGCTAGCTCTAACTAACTGCAGATAGCAGGACTCTTAAAAAAATTGTAAAATATTTATTTAAATATATTGAGCAAAATAATGTCTACCAGATAAAATCGTTCACATATTGTGCAAGTTTGCTATTCAGGTATTTTGCATATTTTATCATGTGAATCCTTGTTAAGCCCGCAAGCAATTACCGAGCAGACACACTCTTAATGGCAAACTTATTTCACAATTTATGAGGTTTTTTAAAAGGCTTTAAGTTGAACCATCTGGCGCCATAATTCAGGAACGTCTCAATTCAAAAGGCTTCCCTCAAGGCCGTCGCCTGCTGCTGGGTTGCCTCCAGTGTGGAGCCAAGTTTAGCATTTGTAAATGTCAGTTGTGGCATCGAGAGGCCCCTGGAGAGCTCTTTGGGGCTGAAGCGTACAGCAAACAGCACAAGAAGTACAGCAGAGCTTTAAATATTTGCGACAAACTGCTTTATAGAGTGGAGCTCACACACACAGCGAGTTCTACGAATGCGAATGAGTACATATGTGACTGCCTGAAGCATTAAAATAATGTTTAGCGCGTGATTTTGTGCCAGGTTTTCTGCTTCCGCTGGCATCTTGTGGCATCAATTGTCAGCGTATAGCTGGCGGCCGGGTTTATCGAGGCGCAGCAAGCGAGGCGAGGCGCAGTGCACAGGTGCCACAATGGAAAGGAGCGACGACTGCCAACATCAATAACACTAATGGGAAAAGGATAAAGATAAGCATTAAATAACACACGTACGCATGGCATTTGAGGCTTATGGCGAGGCCCGTGACGTTGATAGCCCCAAGATGGGGCGAGCTACGAGCAATGGAGGCCAAAAGTGAAGACTACATGGATGTAACTGTGCGTATGTCGGTGTGTGCTTGCCAAATTGTTTGCCCGCGGTCCTTTCGTGGGCGTGGCAGCGTGTACGTGCTAGCTGTTAAGCGCCACATGGCTTGTTCTAACCCCCAGCTACCCTCCTTTTGCTCCACAGTCAAGCGCTTTGTTCACTGCGCGCATTTTTCACATTTTGCGCTTCCGTTTCCGCCATTGTCGCTTGCCTTTGCCCGGCTCTGTCCCAAATTGTGTCACATACACACGTGAGCAATTTAAAGTCAGGGCATTGCGTCCTTGTCTTTGCGTCCCATTTCAACTGCAAACTTAATTTTCAAGCGAGCCTCGCGGCGTGCAAATATGCGTACAGCATCTGAAATTTATGAATCGCTTTACACACGAATATGGAAATTCATATATGCATTGATTTGCCCCAAGAGCCGCAAATGAAATGCCCAAGAGACTGTTGCTGTCAAGCTGTCTACCTGTCATGCCTGCCTCAAGCAAAGGGATAATTAAATCGAAGGACTGTCTCATAAAAGTTTAGCGAGCTTTTCAGCTAATCGCCTGTTAAAGTTGATGCGGCTTTAATTTGTAGGGCATTTTCTCCTACAATCTACAAATGTGGAAACGAAACAACATAAAAGTTTATCGAATAGTGTTACTTATCGGTATTGGCAATTGCATAAGACAAAAACAAGTTTATAAGAAACATTTTTTAGGCCTTACATTTAAAGACAAATCCAGCTGCAAGCCAAAGTGCATAAAGGATAGGGTGACCAATTAAGTTCTATGCCAAATGGAATTGCAATAGATCAAAAACTATTTCAGAAATCAAGTTCTTTCTATTTTTATTTTAAAGCTACATTCATGCCATTATATATAAGACAACCTTTTTTGGCACACTCGTTTTAATATGTGGGGTGTTATTAATACAATAGCCTCAAAGAAAGCTATTAAGGTGAGATATTCCTAAAATGATTGAGTAATCAAATTTCATTTCACTCAGTCGAAATTTAATTTAAATGTCAATGTTTAATGTCAAATTTAATTGAAGATTTCAACAGCTTCATGTTATCGACAGCTGAAACATAACGCTCGAAAATAGTAATGCACTTGCTTGGCTAGCCTCTACACTAGAATAGATAGACACCAAAGAAAGCTGTTCAGATATATTTTATTCAACCAGAACCAAATTGTCTTATTGATAAGTGACATATTGGCCATACTTAGCACAGTTACTGACTAGCCGATCGTAGACCAGACCTTGAACGTTTTGCGATAACAAATAGTCATAATGACTGAAGCCGTCTTGCGAAATTTTCGCGTAATCGACAACATTGCTTAGTTGATTCTTCAGCTGAGTAACATCGGGCAAGGTCGCTAGCCAGTCGTCTTCGGAATGGTGTATTGCCACTTTGCAGGAGATCTGAGTGAGATTATAGGGCGGCGGGCTGGGTCTATCGTATTCCTGTAAGTTGAGCACCTCGCCATTATCGAAGGCACTGAATTCGTTGTTATTGAGCAGCTGAGAGTAGTGATAGATCTGATAGGCAGACGCGCCCTGCGACGAGTGACCAGCGACAACAGGTGCAAAGGTCTGTAATATATAGAGTATACATCATTTTCTTAAGGTCTGCGACAATTGTAAAAGCAGGCGAAGGTGCCCGAGCAATATCGATGCAGCTATGGCTACTACCCCACTTGAGTCAAGCTTAATCAATCATATATCTCTGTAGGTCTTAGATAAATATCTAGCTACTTACACTATTGAACTCGTTCCAGCCGAAACCGCACAACACAAAGTCAAAGATGCGGCATATTTCGCTGCCCATTTGATCGTTCTCGCAGATGTGATCTCGGAATTGCTTGATTAGTTTGTTATCATTGGCTATGGAGAATCCACCAACCAAGTTGAGCAGAACCTGCAAGCGCATAATATTAGATGGCTCAAAGAGAACGACACTCGAGACAAACGTACTCTGATATTTCGCTTAAACAGGGACAAGAATCGCAGCACTGGACTGTTTGTATTTTGCATATAGACCGTTGGCGAGAGAGCCTGCATGAAGGTCACTTTTTTAGCGTACTCGGGTAGCTCACTGGCCATCACAAAGAAGGCGGTAGAGCCCTGCGAGTGGCCAATATATTGTATATACGGCTGTGCAGTAATTAACTGGATCTGATCAATCGTTGCCGGCAAATCGAAGATGCCAATTTCATGGAACGAGAAAGCCCAGTACTCAGATGGCGCGAGATGGGGATCTACATGATTCTGCGAATAGATGTTGCCGCGCGTATTCAAAAGCCACACGTCGTAGCCCTGATCGTACAGTATATAGCCCAGACCATTCGTCGGGCCCATTTGCACCCAACACGCTGAGCTGGACATGAGTCCGTGCACCAGCAACACGACCTTTGCACCGGGTCGAGGTATGCGATGCACACTCAGCACGTAGCCGTCCTCTGTCGTTACATAATGCGTCTCCACAGGGTAATTATGTCTAACGATCAGCTGAACCTATTAACAAGTAGATAATATTTAGATATTCGATAGCTGAGGATATCTCCCACTTACTGTGCTCAAATGAGAATCTGCATTAATGTCGGAATCAGTGAAATCCAAGGGCGGCTTCTGGTTAGCTATTGGTGGAGGAGCATCCTGAAACTGAATGCTTACTTCTGTCTGTGCTTGTGATTCAGAATGCTCAGTAAGTTGTAACTGTTCGTATTGCTTATGAAACGGGCACTCAACAAATATCGTTATTACGCCGTCGACAGGAAGATGTGGATATTCTGAAGTTAACTGCGTCACATATGATGGCTTCGCTTTCTGATCACCGGAATTATATGTTGGCAATGTCGAATATGGATAGCTAGTTGGATAAGCTTGCCAAGGTGGATAGCTCTGGTTCTGCTGAGGAGGATACTGTTGTTCGGGATTATATGTGGGCAAGCTCGGATATGGATAATTGGTTTGATGTGTTTGAGCAGGTGGATAGCCCTCGTTTTGGGGAGGAGGATATTGTTGTCCGGGATTGTATGTGGGCAAGCTCGGATATGGATTACTGGTTTGATATGTTGGAAAGTTCACGTTCTGCTGAAAAGGATAATTTTGACCAGGATTATATGTCGGGAAGGACGGTTATGGATTTGATTGAACAGGTGGATAGCTCACATTTTGTTGAGGATCATATATTTGACCGGGATTATATGTCGGGTAGGCTTTGTCGGGATTATAATCGGTTGGATATGGTCGCCAAGTTGGAGAGTTCTCGTTCTGAAGAGGCAGAAGTAATTTTGCGTTTGTCTGAGGGTCGACATCTGCCGGATATGGTCGCCAAGTTGGATATGTCGGTAGAGCATCTTCATTTTGCTGGTCATTACGTTCTGGATTACATAAAGATCCTTCTGGGAATTGGATTACAAATGAAATATTTCGTGGTCGATTCACATTTTCTGGAGGCTGCCCATAATTTGGGGGATTCTTCAGAATAAAACGGTTAATGGTTTCGTCGTCCACATTGCAAAACTGTTTAAACCACTTCACTTTATAGTTAAACAGTATTTCCAGCTTCTGTAGTTCCACTTGTACTGTATCTAAATATTTCTGATTTGCCACACACTCGATTTGGGCGTGGACCAAAAGACCGATGCTGCAATGCGCCAGCAGCGCCGAATATAATAATAGACTCATCATCACTGCGTGAAGGGATCACAGGTTGCTGCTTATATAGCCAACGGGCGGAACAAAAGTAATTAGATTGCAAAATCGATTGACAAAGGATTTTAGGCAACCGTAGCCAGCTTATTATGTAACCGGAAGAGGGCCGTGCCCAATGGATTCAGAGAGAAATAGTAACGTGTTATGCCAACACATTCGATTCACTTCTTCAATTCTCAAATTTATCTAGAAATTTTTGCAGGAGCGGCCTAGGAAATCCTTTCAAATCAGCCTCTTGGCCAAAGCAATAATACTAACTAAATAACTAAATCCCTTCCCGACTTGATCATCTTTTGAGTCTAGACTCATTTCACACGCTTTAAAACTGAGCGGGAAAAGTCTTTAACTTAAATAAAGTTAAATAAGTTTGCAACAAGGCGGATTTATTTTTGATTGAAATATTGTTTTATTCGCATTTTATTCGCTATCAATACGTTCCGAAATAGTTACATACTTCTTTATATTGCGTATGTATACGGCTACCATAACTTGGGTTGTTAAGATCTATACTTATGGTGCATGGAGGTGGTGGTGGAGGTTTTTGGATGTCGGCTCGGACTACGTCCATGGCACAGTACTGCTTCAATCGGTTCACCTGAATTTCCTGTTCACGCCTTAGTTGCTGAATATTCTCTAGCTGCTGAGCTAGAACGAACTGCTGATTTTCACAGGTTTGCTGACCTTGACCATGGACCAACATTCCAATGCCATAGAGCGACACCAATGCCAAGAAAATCAAGGAATTCATAGCTAGAACTTGCAGTACTGAGTAGAGCGATCGCAACTCGCGGCTTATATAGCCTCAATGTAGTAACGCGGCGTAACACACGACAAATTCAATTATGCAAATCAATTGAAAACGGACCTGAAACTACCTGAAATTACTTTGTCTTTATATTTTATGAATTACCTATGAACAATTGAGTTTTTCCATAAGTTACTCCAATAGAAGAGATATACTAATTATGTATGCGCAGTCAGAGAATCTCGTTAGAAAAGGAATAAAGAGTTTAATTAAAGTAAAGACACTTAACTCACTCCAACTTCAACTTGTCTCCACATTCTCCAATTTGAATTGCCTGTTTTGTCATTAGATATATGTATGAAACTCTAAATATTTTATTTGTTCTTAAATATATTTCATTTTTTCCTGTTTTCGTTGTAATTTCTTTAACTTTGAATATGTCGGCAGCAACAATACCAATAAAGTTTAGCGTCGGAGAGATGTCGTTCCGGTATCATGAGATGGAGCTACACTACAAACTGTTAATGCCCCTCAATGCAGACTACGATCCCACCTGGTGCCGGGACACGTTCTTGAAGCAACTGTTTGCCGAAACGTATGCAGGATCGGACTTTGTGAGCTCTGAGTCGTCGTCCTCTTCATCAGTCCCGTGGGAGTTGTTCACTGTGCAGCCAGATGAACAGGTGTCTGTGGACAGCCATCTGGAAAGCAATCCACAATCAAGCAGCTCCCACCGATTGATGACTGAAATCTCTGATATGAGAATGACTCTCGATGCTTTCAGTATGGGTGTGCCTTCGGGTCGCATGGACATGAGAAATGACGATCTGTTGAAGCGCTCGTCGTTGTTCTTCATGGTTGCGCGTGTGATGAACAAGCTGCGGATCATGCAGACAATCTCCTCAGACAGGGCCGGCATGAAGTTGAGCCAACTGCCACACAAGCTATTCACATGGTCCTTGGATGGGCTATTCAAGCGCTGCGCACTGCCCAGTACCTTATATCTGGACGTGCTGGTGCGTAATTACGATGAAAATGTCCTGGACTGGGCCAAGTTCAGCACAGATTTGCTGGAAATTCTGCGCTACTATAAGTACTTCTTGACGGTCACATACAACAACAAGGGAAATCAAAACAGAATGAGGGCCATATTGTGGGACCAACAGCAGCTGCTCAATATTGTGGAGCAGCTGGACAGCAGTCTAAATGTCACAATGAGCACATTGCAGAAAATCGAAGACGAATCGCAACAAATCACCAAACAAGTCACAAACGAATTAACACGAAATTCACTCGACAGCTGCATAAGACGCACTGCGGATGAGAGAGTGCTTAAGCCAATCGAATGCCGTTATGCGCGCGCATACTATAAAACCCTGGCTGAGATGCAGGCCATGAAGGACGAAGTGCCTATCGTCCAGCTGGAGAAGGAAATTCAGGATCTCAATACTGCTATATCGAGCGATTCCAGTGCCACGTATGTTGCCATCGTGGTCAACAGATCTATCATAGAGGTAATCGAAAGCGTTTATTTATCGACCACTTTATGTACCTTACATTTGGCCTTTACAGAAGTATGGTCAACGGCAAGTTGAAATAAATGAAAAACTTTTGGTCGATCTGGAATATTGGAACAATCAGATATACGTGAAAAATGCTCGTTTGACAAGGCTACGCGATGACTATAAGGAGGTGCAGGCAAATATTGATTTCATGCGCCAGAAAATTGATGAGGTGGAGCTTCAGATCGCCACCGAAAATCAGTCCATGCGTAATTCTGTAAGATAGATCGTTAAAGCTCCGTTATCTCTCTTGACTACAGACATTTTTTTACAGTTGACAGGGGCAATCAAAGACAGTGGATCAAAGCAAAATGGAAGCAAATTGTCTGTGTTGAAAAGCAATCTGAAATCGACATCGACCGTTAAGAAAAGATTTGGCTTTAGTCCGAAACCTAGGGGATCCATATCAAGGGCATCTAAAACGAAGCTAACTTAAGCCCAAGTAGTAATTGAAAGTCTAGTCTGCTGAAATTCTGTGAAGCCCATCGACAATCTTACAATCAGCTCGTTCGGAAGCTTCTTTGAAAACTGTTCATAATCAAATTTAACAGAACAATTTGATTATAAACATTTTTCAGAGCAGATTCGAGTGTGTACTGAATAATGGAGATTCAAGAACATAGTGTACATAGCTGTTGTACAGAATAAAGCCTACAAGGACAGAAATCGAAGTTAAACGCTTTTCTGTAAGCAGCTTTAATGAGCTTCTCGAAAAGCCATTAAATTTATTGCTTTCATTCATATCAATTATTCTTTCCAATTCGATTAGAGTATAAACTTGAGAATAATTCATATTAAAAGCTTTTCTATAAGCCGTTTAAATGAGCTTTAAGGGCAGCTTTTAATCTCTATTGATATCATTCAACCAATTCTTTGATACTTGTAACTTCGTGTTTGGTTTTTAATTTAATTAAATAGAAAACGGGAGAGATTTATATTAAGCTGCTTGTATTTGAGCAGCTTAAATGAGCTTATTGTATCATTTGTATCAATTGATCAAAAGGCTCTGATAGTTTTAATGTTTTACCGCAACACATTTCAAGACATTTTCTGCACAGCTTTAATGAGCTTTTTAGCGAAAGTTTCTGAGCATATCTACAGCCTCATTTGCTGTTCATTCATGTTAATTGTTCAAGTGCAAGTAGATCGAGCTGCTGATGGCTGATGGCTGATGCTGCTGCTACTGATGCTGTTGCTGCCTTTCGAAACTTGTGTCGCTTCCTTGTTTGCACAAATTCGATTATCAAAATACACAGGCAAAACGACGGCGAGCAGCAGAAGCGAGAAAAGGATAATGCCATGTCGCCGCATTAACGCGTCTGTCGCTATATGTATGCGGAGTCAGCGGGGCACCGGAAGTAGGAGTCGAGTCGAATAGGAGAGCGGGCCAGCTGTCAGATCCGGCTGCGGCGGGCTTGCCCTGGCGTGAAACAAGCTGGGAAATTGAGTTTGGCTGCTTGCCTGGATCCCAGCTGATTAAAGCTCGACGAACGGCGTGGCATTTGGCGCTTTCTTTGTTTGCCAAGTTCTGCGGTGATTCGCAACCTTTTTTCAAGCATATCATTAGGATGCAGTGCAGCCGACATGGCAGCCATGCACAAATGGCATATTAAGCTCCACTGACAGCCGCGTTTATTGCGCAACCCGATGCCCATGGAGGAAAGGACGAAAGACCCTGTTCATGCCCAAGTCGTGACACATATTAAATTTCATTTCACTGCCAGTCGGAATAGGGCGCCTAATGAAGGTTAAGCAACTTTTAATGTGCTCTCGTGCTCGTCCTTTGCCTTCCACTGGCCATTTTGCAGACCATTAAATGTTTTGCCTGGCAATATGCCATATGTTTTGACATGGACAACTCCTGCTCTCCTACGGTGTCTCTGCTGGCAAAACTTTCCTTATCATTTGCGAGAAAGTCATAAAGACGTGTGTGTGTATGTGTGCGATATGATATGACGATGACAGAAAATGGTAATGATGACGCCGGATCACATACGGCACATCAGCATATGCTGGGCTTAACATTACAGCGTCTGGCATCGCCACAAAGAGGCAATTTATAGACGCATTGGACATGGGATCTTAGCCTCTTGTCTAAATCCTTCCATGACTCTGACAGCAGTCGTTGGGCAACAAGAATGAGTTTTGCTTAATTTAATATTTTCTCTATATCGATTGGTATTCGAATTGTTATATAACAAGCGGCAATTGTATTTTATGCCTCATTTGTTTAGTATTTCTAATGGAATTATTATTGCAAGGGTAATTATAGAAGTAAATATTTATTTTTATTTATTTTAAATTGTAATTTTATGGCAGGTTTGGTTACATATACAACCATTGAATCTGTAGTATACGTAGATAAATAAATATATTTAATTTATATATAATTTGGACTCAATGTCTACATCCAAACTTTTTTTAAAATGTTTCATTTTCTATTTATAAACATTTAATGCTGCATATTTTATTTTATGTACATTTCAATATTAATCAATTTATAGAGAATTATAAACAAATGAACTTATTGTGACTTAATTTTATATATTTGCTTTTTATAGATTTTATTATGCATCTTCACTGCAAGCCGTTGGCGACTTTGAATTTGATGTTTGCTTTTAAATCGAATCGTTTCTTGTTACGCTTGAGGAAAGCTCTGCCCCTCTTGGCTGGCGCTGCTTTGCTGGTGTGAAATGTGCATGAAAGAAACGCTTTGAAGCGTTTCTTACAACTCTATCCACACCCACACCCAGACAGTCAGACAGACGGGAGAGACCAAGCAGAACGCTGTGACCAAATCAAAAAACCTTAAGTTCGACTTTTGCCTTGAACATTTATTGTTATCAACATTTACATATGCCCCTCTCCATCTCTGACCCCTCTCTCTCCCTTTCTCTCTCTTTGTCGTCTGCTACTGCTGTAATTTTACGGTCGATTGAGTGCGGAAATCGGCACACAATCAAATTACCCAGTTCCCAGCACCAGTTCGCTGGGGGTGCAAACAAAACTTGGGCATTGCTTTAAGTTTTCCAATTAAAACAAATGCAACAAATGCGATAAAACAAAGGAATTTGGCCAACAATTCTGTTGTGCTGTTGCTGTTACTGGAATTCTGAAAATTTTTAACTGGCCAAATTTATGCGTGGAAATTTTCGTAGATGTCGTAAATTTTGGCATTGCGAGTCGACTTTCGATAGGAGCTCTTTTGTTTTGCTTGGTTATTTATACAGTCGCCTCTTGGCACACTATCTAGCAGTTGCAGTTGCAGTTGGTGTTGCACTGCTGCTGTTGCTGCCCTCGCCACGGCCACTTGTTTCCGCACTCCAATCCTTGGCCGGCGTATCGCTGTTTTCTCGTTTTTCTTGCTTTCTTTACTTGCTGTCGCGACGCCAAACACGAGAAGTCCATTTCGAAATTTATGTACACACAAATTGAAAGTGCGCTGCGGATGGAAGAAAAATGCAAAAGAAAAGCATGCAAAAAGAAAGCCAAGCGAAAGAAAAAATAAAAAATCACTCGACACTCGGTGCAAACTTCGCTGCTCGAATTGCAACTGCAGTTGCAGTTGCGATGGCGAGGCAAAGGCAAGAATAGCTACAAAGGAAATGCACTTGACTCCGCCCGCATTGTGCAGCTGTCCCATTGAGCAGTTGCCCAATCGCCTTGTCAAAGGCAGCCAACCTGCTGCCTGATGCCAACCAAGTGTTGACACTGAGCAGCTAAGCGAGCTCACGAATAGAGCTAAGTGGACTCAATCGAAGTCAAATGCTAACTCAACTCCAAGCATGCCTTATCGCAGATGATCGATTGGCTGAACCTATTTAAAAATTTACCCACAAGATTTTAGCTTAAGTAAATATTTTTAATTAAAAACGAAATTCATTTTTATCAACAATTTTAAATGAACTAAAAGATGAGCATGAGTAAGATGACGTATAGTTTAAAAATAATTTAAAGAATTTAGAATATATATATTTATTCTTTAATCTAATAAATATAACAAAATAAAAATTTATTGTAACATATTTCATACATTTTTAAAATATTTTGAACGTAACTACATAATAATTTAAATTTTTTTACATAAAAATACAATTTTGATATAAGCCTATAACAACTGCTCAGATATGGTTTATTCAACAGCTACTTCTACTCTCTCAGTTAAAACCCAACTAGTTTACCTGCCTTTTCCATGCACATCTATAACTTTTTTAGAGACTCGTTCAACTAGTTCCGCCTTAAACAAGTCCACAATATTTCTATTTAAATATACAACTATTATTTTTTATTCTTTTATTTGCGAAAACAAAAACACTTGGGCACACGGCACTTGGAAAAGTTTGTTGCACTTTGAACTCTCAGCGTCAGTTTGCAACTCATTTATAAGGATTAAAAGGCTTCAGAGGGAACCTCAACATTGGCGTTGGTTGCCATTGCCATTGCCATTGGCATAAATTAAATGCTACAGTCGCTCTGTGTGTGGAAAATGGGTTGCCTGGCCTGGCGTGGCCTGGTCGAGCCGTTCCAAGGGTGCATTGCACCCACAGTCGATGACACAATAGGAGCAGTCAGCGAGGTACTCACGATTCACTATGCAGGATTCACCTACATTAGCCCGAGGAGCAGCTCATTGCTATTGTCGCAGTGGAAAGTTTTCGTTTGTTGAGCCAGCTGATGATGCTGTGTCCCGTTTCCTGCGTTTGATGCAACTTTTAAAGTTGTTCGCTTTAAGTCAATTATTGCCAAGTTATGTCTTCTACTCTGTCTCTGGTCTCTGTGTGTGTATGCTAATTTGATTACAATGCACTGAACGAGGGCCGAGCTGCTGGCAAGCGATGCCATTGCCTAAGTCCCCTCAATGAATTATGATGGACGGTGTCATGAAAGCGCGAACAGTGGCGGGGCTCTGTGGTCGGATTCGGGTTCGGGTTCGGGTTGTGCGTGTTGGCCATGTTTATCTCTGGTCAACGTATACTTAGCACATGGTATCGGGGCGCTGGAAGTGGGCTTATTGCTGGTTTGGCGTTTTTGCATGCCACGCCCTCAGCTGTAGCACACACGATACGATAAATGGCTGGAAAATGGGGAAATGAAGTGCTTAGCGCTGGGCATTGTGCCAGGACTTTGGTCGCGCCACTTCATTATAAACATTTCTCAATTGATTATCGTTAGTGTGTGCCAAAGTCCGTATGTGTGTCTATGTGTGTGTGGTGTGTGCGTGTGTGATAATGCTATAATTATGCCTTTGCTTTTCTTGGCGTGCAGGAGCTGTTGCCGTGCGGGGGGCGCTGCGGCTTTGCCATGGCGCTTATATTTGCACGCATGTCCTTTATGCTCGCGTAAGTGTGCCTGTGTGTGTGAGCGCCTGTCATGGGGTTTTACAGCATGTTTATGGCATCATGTTGTGCGCTTGTGCGTGTGTGGGGCACGGGTTAGTGGCAGCCACTTTTGCATGCTCCTCTCACATTTAAGCAAGTAATCCACATAAACTGCTCTTGAAATATTTCATTATCGTAATGAAAAGGACTTAAATACATTAATTTTTTCCTACTGCCAGCTGGAAGCCCATTTCATGAGTGTGTGCTTGAGCTTGCCTATTGATAATAAAAGTAGATTTGGGTTCGCCATTTGCACATGCGATGCGAAAATGTGAAAGCTTTGTTCGTCTCAAGCGTAAACACTTATGTGTCGCTCC